AATGTCGCCCTTCCCGAGATAAGCGATTTTAAAAGCTATTATTTATCTAATCGCGTAGGACTTGTATGATAAGTAGCTAATATATATTTTTATACGTCACGTGAAAAAAAGTCTTTATTTTATAAGAGCGTTTTAATTAAATAAAAATAATACGATATTTTGCGTGCTTTTTTCGTGTCGCTCTTTTCGAAATACGCGATTTTAAAAGCTATTATTAATCAAATCACGTGAGACCTTCTTTTAAAAAGAGCTAGTACTTGGTTTTATACGTCACGTGAAAAAAAAAATTTTTTTTATAAAAGAAATTAAATAGAAAAAAGGTTACGATATCTTTCATATCTTCATAATAGCGAGTCCTTCGAAATAATAAATAAAATAAGGAATTATTAATAGAATCAAATACGGTTTTCTAAATCTGCTTTTAAATTTAATAATAATATTATGTTAAACTTTTAAAGTAATAGATTTTTTATTAAATAATTAAAAAAGCTTTCGTATATATATAGAAATATATATTACATTATTATACGATTCTTTTAATAGAATTCCTTAAAATGTAAAAAAATCGTAATCCTTTTCCATTGTTTATAATATAAATTGAAAACCTTATAATTTTAAATATATTTTTTATACGGTAAAATTTTGATGTTCTTCGAAATATTAAGCTTTTTATTAACTTAGCTAATTCGAAGTAAGCATATTATGCTTAAATGCTAAGCTTATTTAAACTTATCTTTTACTTTAAAGTTAAGAATATATTTTGAAAGTTAAAGTTTAATTATAATACATATAATAACTTGCATTAACTTAACCCTTTAATAGAACGATAATAATAATATATTTATAAAGCATTCACTATATTACTAAACATATTATAACTATATTTACTTATTTATATTTAAACGATAAACTAATAATTATATTCAAAAATATTATAATTCATATATACTATTAACTTATTCTTATAACTTTAGATTTATATTCGTATTATATAATATTATTCTTATTTTTAATCTAAGCTATATATATTCTACTAAATCTCTTCGCAATATATATAAAAAGATCAAATCTTATTTGCTAATTATACTTTTAATAATGCTATATATATAATTCTATTTCAAAATAACTTTCTTTTAAAATATCTTAAGATATTTATATAATATTTAAAAATATATTATCTTTTTTCTAAATCTATTTCTATTTAATCAAATCTTAAACTATTTTGATATACTTTATCGATCCTTTAATCTTAAATCCTTGAATCTATTCTTACTACTTTTAGCTATTATTATAATACTTTCTGAAATATTATTAAAGTAACTTTTATTTATTGATACAAGTAAAATCTATATAATCTATTAAAATCTTTAACTCATTCTTTATCATACAACTTTCTTTTACTACAATTCATTGCAATGCCTCCACGCGCAGAGCTACGTGACGAGCCACTTAGAAGAACTCGAGGTCGCCTTTTTGGATCTATTTCTCTTCGATCTGCTTTACGCAAATCTCTTTAACTTTTTACGTAAGTCTCAATCC